CATGATAGTAGGTTGTTACATTTTGTTAGTACATAACTGTTTGTAACTTGTTGCCGCCCGGCGTCAAAGTAACTTTCTGCCGAAAGGCTAACTTTTTGGGGGCGGAAGCTGTTGGCTGCGGCCTCCCAATAAATATTTAGCGGCAAAATATTCTTTCTTCAGCCTTCAGTAGCTTCTGCCCTTCTATTGGCGGCAGAAGGCAGAGTTTTTTAAGTAGCAAAATGTTTTTGAAGCCAACGCCACTAAAAAGGCGATATCCATTGGTGGCCGCCTCCAGAAAAAATTGTGGACGCAGAATCATTTGGAGGCCGCCTCCAATGGCAATTGCTTCCCAACTGACTGCGGCCACCAAATTGGAGGCAGATATTTCTGCCTCCAGGCGGCGGATGTAATGAAATATAAATGCTTGTTTGTTTTAAAGCAGTTCAATATTAATTAGAAGAAAATGTTATTTAACATCAAGTTTTATTTTATATGATTACTTGCAAAAGTTTTGAGTATTTCAAAAAATTATAATTTTTTTTAATTTAATAAATTAAGTTGAATAAATTAGTAGTTTTATTATTCAAAATACGACCACGCTGGATTACGCTAATAGTTTTGCAAATCGCGAGGTTAAAATCATTTTGTTCATTCTCATCATTTTCTTTGTTTTGAGATAAAACGATTTAAAAAAATAAAAACGTCGGAGACGGCATATAAAGAGATTTTTATTACTTATGTTTTCTCCGAAACTTTTTTGATTCTAACTTAGGTTTTAATTTAGTAGAAAAACATTATTTTGAGGTACATGACACAATCAATAACTCGATTTTTTCAAAAGTAATAAAAGTTTCACTTAAGAAGGAAAACTAATAAAAGTTTCACTTAAGAAGGTAAAGTAGTTTTTTCTTAAGAAGGTGTATTGAACAATCCCTTTTCTTATGAAATTATATCATGGCAGAACAATTTATTAGGAATCATCAAAATAAACTTGAAATCATTGGTGCGCTGCTTTGGTATATTTTTCCCCAGCTAGCACGCATAGGCTGAGGTAACATCGTGCCGACGTCGAAAAATTGGTTGACTGATGGTCGGTAGCCTAACGTACTACATTAGCCCAACGTTGATTTTGTAGTCGGCGCAAAATCGCAGTCAACCGTTGGCTTAATGTTGGCTAAACTTTTGCATCCGACGTTAGGTTAGCGTTGCATTCTACCGTTCACTCAACATAATTTTATTTCAATTTTTTTTTTGCAAAAGCTTTGGTAAAAAAGTTGAATTATTTCTTTGTAATAACTTTTGGGTTGAAGAAGAGGGTTGGAACATGCGAACCTAGATGGGCTAAAGAAATAATTAGTGGTGTTCATTGTGAAAAATTTTTTGATGGAGATGATATGAATGATATTGTGGAGAGAAATATAAGTTGCCATCTGGTCCAATGGTTTGTTTGATTGCTGGCTGGTCCAATGATAGATAGCTACCTAAAAGAAATTTGTAAGGTTTTTCTTCGTAAACTAGCAAAAGGAAAAATGACTGGTTTAACTCCTTCAGTGTCAATCTTTATTCCATGGGGAATTATGAGAAATATAGTTACTCTTATGAAAGCATATAGATGTACTTGCAGCATGCTACAGACACACAGCAGCAAAAAAAAAAAAAAAAAAACTTATTGAAAATAACAACATTAGACGCAGCAAAAAAATATTTGATCCTTGTCGCTTTGATGGAACAACTTTTTTAGTAAAAAGGATGTTTCACAAAGTTAACCAAGAAGGAAAGCAAAATAAACGCCTTGCATTTAATGGAAACGCAGAGATTGTAATAACACTCCGATTCAATTTGAATACTCACACATCACGCAATATATAAGATAAAGTTTTTACATTCAAAGATACACTGCAGATTATTTTGTTGTTGATTCTTCATAACAAGCGTTAACGAATCAATAATTTGTTAACTTTAAATATATATTATATATAAAATGAATCAAATATATATTCTTTTAAAAATATATATATAATTTTAATAATATTATATATTAAGTTTGTTTTATATATATACATTTATATTTAATATATATTTAAAGTTTATATATATCATATATTTATATATATTATATATACATGTATATACGTATATATATATACATATATATATATATATATATATATATATATATATATATATATATATATATATATATATATATATATATATATATATATATATATATATATATATATATATATATATATATATATATATGTATATATATATATATACTTGTGCATGAATCAAAAATTTCAAATTAGTTTAAAAGAGTTTTCTAGTTTCTATTGCTAATATTTGAACTCATACAAATTTTTACTACCGAACAGTCCTATGCAATGTTGTCTAATGTTCGTATTATATAATATATATATATATATATATATATATATATATATATATATATATATATATATATATATATATATATATATATATATATATATATATATATATATATATATATATATATATATATATATATATATATATATATATATATATATATATATATATATATATATATACATATATATAAGTTAATTTTAAATGAAATAGTTTAAAGAAAAAGCAGCAATGTATTATAACAAATTGTAAAATATGTCAAGAAAAGGTTATCAACAAATTTGTTTTTAATTTGTAAATCAATAGACACTCCAAGTTTATTAAAACAAACTATTAAGATCTCTATTTTATTTTAAATAACTTATTGCATTAAACTTATACTCTTCAATATGCTTAATTTTAAAATACAGGAGAACCCTATTTACATAATAATTGTAATTCACCAACGATAATTAAATAGCAGAGCCAATGGTGGATTAAGGCATTTTAGGCTTTAATCCACCTGGAAGTACTTCTTCTGGGAAGAAATACTTTGAGGACCTAATTTTAGCATATAACTGCAAAAAATGTATAGTAATAAGTTTGAGGGCAGATAGCTACCCTCCTTAAATAACTAAAATTTTCAATTTTTTTATTCAAATTCTGATTCTGGCAGGATGGCAACACCCCTCCCCCAGCCCAAATTCTTCCTACGCCAATATATATATATATATATATATATATATATATATATATATATATATATATATATATATATATATATATATATATATATATATATATATATATATATATATATATATATATATATATATATATATATATATATATATATATGTATATATTAACAAATGTTAAGTTACTGAAATTGAGAAAAAACATTTTTTCTGATTTAGCCTTTAAAAAATCAAAAATTACGCCTCTACTTTATAACTTAGGCAACTGCCTAGTTTGCTATATGTATTATCCCCTACTGGTAAGAGCCTATTTAGATTTGGTGGCAGATTTTAGCTTTTAAATTAACTTAATTTAGGATGTAATCAAGTGCAAACATTTTCTCATCAAATTCGATTGTTACTCTCAGGGGCGCACGGATGATGGCAGATCCGGGTTAATTTCCACCGGGCAGTATGAGACATAGTTAGAGGTCAACAAAAATAGAACCAGTAGAAAATAAGCCCAATAAAAACTAAAAATGCCCAATAAAGAAATGAAAACCGTTTATTTTGTATTTCCGTTTAGTTTATATTGAGGCTGTCTATTTTATTTCGAATCAATCCGATTAATTCAAATGAAAATTTTAAGGTAGATAATTTTCAATACCACTTGTTTTGCTTGTCAATGTGTGAAGCTATAGATCAGTGTTTACGTTATGTTATTTGCCCTATGAATAGTTCTTCAAATCATGTGAAAATCGCGTTGCTTAAGTCTTATTGATCTCGATAAGTATCCTTGATCTTTATGTCAAGCTTGACATATTGAATTATCGAGGTCAAGGAAACGATAACGGCTCAAATACGGCTGTAACCTATAAAGGCGTCCAAGACTTGAGTAAACAGAAGAAACTAAATGCATTCTTTCTTCCGTGTGATACTCCTAGCCTCAATCAATGTGTGGTAAACTTTTTAGTATAATGTTTTTTAACAAATAATATTTTTAAAATCTTTATTAAAATACGCTTGTTTTGAGACCCAGGTACTTCTATAAATAAATTTTCTGTGACAATACTATTTGTTAGGTAATTGAACCCAAATATCTTTGGAACTTGACGCAATACAATAAAAAATGATTGTATTTTTGAAAATAGAATGATAATCATTTAAGATATTTTTCTATGGCAGAAAAAAGCCTTTTTATTTGGCTTGTGTTTTAAATAATTGCCGTTTTTTGTCTGGAAGAACATTAAATCTTGGTAGATAACCAAAACATGGTTGCCGGTTATCTAGGGAGGGGAATGGATCATGCCCCTCTCTTCCACTTTTTTTTGTCGAGAACCGTTTTTGTAGAAACGTATGATTTTTTTTTAGAAATAAGGTAGTTGCCCCCTCCCCCTCTTTAAAGCCGTGACGATTGCTCTGCATAGGCAGAACCCTAATCTAAGGAAAGTAGCCTAAATACATTAATAGGAAAGAATAAGCAATAATTAACTTGATTTTATGTTTTAGTTACTTTTGATTTTATAAGAATAACTGCTATTTTTATAAATTCAATTTATGTGAAAAAATTATTTTTACTTCATTATTTATACATACTCCTTTAATTGTTTAAGTTATGATATACGAGCCAAAACGTTACTATATGAAAACTATATATAAAATAAGTCAGATGCACGGAACTGTTTTTTAGTACTGTTGTACTAGCAGTACTGTTCTATTCCGAGTTAGGTCTTTACGCAAAGCCGGGCTCGGAGTGCCGAGCTTGGGGTAGGTAACCGGAGTTTTAAACGCGCTACCATAAGTAACCCCATCTCCCGGTTATTAAATCTGGTCTAAATTTCCCACCCGCCCGTTCATTCCTATCCCCCTTTTATTTGGGAATCGAGAGAATTTAATATACATTAATATTTATTAAAATACGGGTGAGCTGACACAGCGTCAAAGGTAAAAACAGAATACATATATACATATAATGATCGTATACCTATTTGTATATATAGGTTGATCTATTTAGTTAAAAAACTTTCTAATCTCCTAATTAACTCCGCCTTGCTTCCACTAGCACTTTTACAGCGTAGTGTTAATTCATCCTTTAACTGTTTTAAAGAAAGTTCTCTAGGAATAATATTGATAATTTGATTTTGTGCATGTGATGTTAAGTGTTGCAAAAGTTTGTTGTTGTCACCAAATCGTTCATTGCAAACATCACATTGGTATGGTTTTAAAATAGCCAAAATTTCTTCAGTTAATTCACCTTTCTCGACACATTTCATTAATGGAACTGCAAATATGCAACAATCACAAAGTTGCTCAGATACAAGTTGACGAGAACAATGGCATATTGATTCACTATCTAAGTTAGCTGGTACTCTTGATTTGTAGTGTGTGTGATGTTCATAGGAAAATAAGATATAGTGTGAAGTTATGTTCGTAGGAAAATGATAAGGAAGACCAAAGTTTCTCACAAAACTAGATCTCATCAGTTGATGCCATTTACCTTGTTCGTCAGAAGAAACTGATCGATTACTGTTATTTTTCAGTTGTTGCTTTAAAGACGAGTGTTTTTATTCTTTTCCCTGCATAGTTAAAACTCCATAACCAACATTATATTTAGTATATATATCTTTTGCATGATATGGTACAATATATCCCATTGTCCATACAGTACTTTGGCAGCTTTCCGGAAAAAACAATGAAAACAAATTAAAATACCTGACGCAATACTTAGCAACATCTGCTGAATAATTTTCTGATGTAATATTATACTTGTTAATCAAAACCCCAGCATCACGCAAAGATTCACATATTTTAGCTAACACAGTTCTTTTAAGTTTCTGAATATTGCTTTTGTTTTTCGTTTTCGATCTGTAAAATGTCAACAAGACGAAAACTGTATTGGGCTAAAGAAACCGCTTGAGCTCCTATCAGTCTTATTTCTAATTTGTTCATTCGTTTACTTTCATTTTGATAATGTTCTCTAATATTCTTTGCTAGAAACTTTAAACCAAAACCTAACTCATCTGCTTCTTTAGGTGGGTTACTTAAATAACTTATAAATTGCTCAAAAACTCCACGACACACTGACTCTTTATAAATTAAGTCAAGGACGTGTTGCCAATTATTAATTTCTAAATGAAGTGGTTCTGGACGAATGGAATCAGCAAATTTGCCAATATGCAGTTCCCCAAGTTGCCGAATACCGTTTTCTGCCATAAAATTTAACTTTTCATTGTGTTTTGCTGATTCTAAAGCATTCACATTTTGTTTGTTCTCAAACTCTATATGTTGCACTTGTAGGTTAAAACATCTGCAGCAAAACACAACCATGAAATATCAGCTGATGGCACAAATTCAAAACTTGTTTTGATGTTATTGATGTTGAGTACATTACTTTCAATTAATTCCATTTCTTCTGAATTTTGCTTCCACAACAACTCACATACTTTATCTTTTTCACTAGCTGTTATCATATGTAGTGGATAAATAAACTCCCTACTGCGGATGCGTTTACCAAAATTCCACATAGACAAAGTCCCAATTGTCATAGTTTTTTCTCGAGACTCTGGAGCTCCATCATCAGAAAATTCAACAATGAAATGGTTAATGTTTCCATTAAACCAAACAAGTTTTTCGTTTAGAGTTTTACCTTTTAAATTTATATCAGCTACCATTGTCACTAATGCTGTCACTGTTCTTGATACTCCACTATAACCTGGAATTTGATGGATTTCACCAATGTCCAATGACTTTACAAACTTTTCAACAGTTTCATTTGAAACATTTGACATGTTCAGTTCAACGTTGACATCACCATATTGAACTGAATTTACAGATGAAATATTTGAAATATCTGAAAATGTGGCTTTCTGTAATTGAAAATCATGTTGTATTTACGTTGAGATAAATAAGTAGCATATTTTAAAGAAACTGCTTTGTTTATACCAGCTTTACTTTTAATATAATTGTTCCATATAAATTTTCAAGAAAATTTCCTCGTTTGTAATTCACAAAGAATTGCTCCATTAATTTTATTGGAGTAATACTACATAAAAGATCCCACACACCATAAATAGCTCCGTAGCTGCCTCCATGAATAAACTCCATAATTTTTAGAGACTCTGCCCGTCTTCGATATTTTGTTGAACAAGCTGTGTCATTAATCATAAAGTCAGTTGTAGGATTATTTGATCGCTTAGTTTTTGCATATTCTTTTTGTTCAATCAGTAATTTAACTTTTTCATATTGGGCGTTTAAGGCTTTTAACTCATTTTCAATTTCTGCCTGTTCAGATATGGAAGCATTAATACTTTTTTGAATAACTTTTTTATCGTTATTTAGGGTCATAATTTCATCATCCAAATGATTTGTCTGTGATACTTAAAAAAAAGAACAAAAAATTATAGAAATAATAAAATATATATGTATATATATAAGTAAAACTATATGTATAAGCAGTTAGGTAAGAAAAACCCTATATAATTTTCACAAACTGTAATATTTGTTAATATAGTGAAAAAATTACTAACCTTTAGCTGCATTCAGTTGGGAAATGACTTTAATATTTTGTAACAAATTATCTGAAAGCAATTGTTGCTGAACAGGTGAAGTGTTCCAAAATGATTGACTACAGGTACGTTTAACGTCACATTTTGATTTATGGTTTGTTAATTTAGAGCAGGTTTTTCTTTTGCCACATCTTTAAAAAAATGCAATTGACGCTAATTTTATAATTTAATTTGTTTATATCATAGATGACTATTAGGTGTACACATAAAATATGACATTAAATACACACATTACATATAACATTAAGTATAGGCATTACACAGTAGCGGATCCTGATCATTGTTCTAGGGGGAAGATAACTAACAAATATTGAATTTTATGTATAAATATATTGTACTTGCGATAAACACAAATTTTAGATAACATAACTTTATATATATATATATATATATATATATATATATATATATATATATATATATATATATATATATATATATATATATATATATATATATATATATATATATATATATTTAATGTTATCAATAATATTTTACAGTTTGACAGTTCTTATAGAGTACTTACATCTTACTCCCCTAACGTTGTATCCGCCACTGGCATCACATACTTGATGATTTCTATATTTGAGTAGAAAAATAAAGTACCTTTTAAATGTACCAATTTCAGACATTAATGAAGATAGATAACAATAAACACTCTCAAAAAACGTGTTACAATCTGTACCACGTGTTTCAATCTGTCATGGCTGCTGTTGCCACAATCTCCCCATGCTACAATCTTTTTGTTCCACCCAAAAAAACTCAACAATTAATGACGTAATGATGATAACTAAGCTTTAGTCAAAAGCATATAACAAGAATCAAAGTATAACTTATAGTCTGAGTCTCATTATATGATTTTGTCATTTACCTACTTATAGTATCACTTATACTATATTATAACTTAATATTACTTAAAGTAAATTTATTTAACCCATGCTACCCCGAAACATAAATCACTGGTGTCACTCGTTCATAAATCATTGGTGTCACTCTGTCAATTTTTCTTTGTAAGGAAAGATAGATTATAATTATTAATGTGTAAAAGTTTGGGTATTTAATAAATTTTGTAATAATTTGAATATTTAATAAATATATTAAAATCATTATATTTATTAAATACCATAACTCTATGTACAAATCTAAAATAAAATATCATTATTTTATATTTTTATTATATATATGCATAATATATATATATATATATATATATATATATATATATATATATATATATATATATATATATATATATATATATATATATATATATATATATATATATATATATATATATATATATATATATATATATATATATATATATATATATATATATATATATATATATATATATATATATATATATATATATATATATATATATATATATATATATATATATATATATTATGCATATATATAATAAAAATATAAAATAATGATATTTTATTTTAAATTTTAAATATATAATATAAATATATATATATATATATATATATATATATATATATATATATATATATATATATATATATATATATATATATATATATATATATATATATATATATATATATATATATATATATATATATATATATATATATATATATATATATATATATATATATATATATATATATATATATATATATATATATATATATATATATATATATATATATATATATATATATATATATATATATTATGCATATATATAATAAAAATATAAAATAATGATATTTTATTTTAAATTTTAAATATATAATATAAATATATATATATATATATATATATATATATATATATATATATATATATATATATATATATATATATATATATTAATAAAAAATTTAGTATTCAATTAAAAACAGTTTATATTTATAACATAAATTATTTATTATTAATTATTATAAATATTAACTTTTTTTAGATCTGAAAAAATTTAGTTTAATAAAACAATTATCATCAAATTTTGCAAAAGTTTTAATTAATGAAATACTGAATTTTTCTATTAACAAAAATTGCTTTTCCTGACTCTACTAAATAATTTTATTATTTTTACTTTTACGCATCGAATCAAAACACCGACAATAATATATTTTGAAAATTCATAATGGTTTCTAGGTCATCTTTATGATCGATAAAGTAACTAACTAACAAACTCTTAGATAGCCTTCATCCATGGTTAATTATATGATCTGAAAATTCCCGCATAGATTCTTAATACGTACATCTAAAATTCCAGTTTACAACATATATCTTTTTTTAAATAATGTTGTAGATATATTTGTATTTTGTAAAAAAACATACATTTTGATGGTTATTTTGCTTGAAACTACTATTTAACTCTAATTTAGACATATAGTTGTAAACTGGAATTTGAGTTCACCTAGATAACTCTCTTTATAAGTAATAATATTGATAGTTGATAACGTCTTCATGCAGTCTATCAAGCTGATTTTTTTAAATTTTAATACTAGTTTTTTAAGGATATCGAATTTTAATATCTATATAACTTTTAACTAGCTGATTTTATAAAAATACGAATGATATATGTTTGTACTTTACTTTCTATTTAACCAAATAAACTTAAAATACTATTATATAATCCTAATTTAATGCAAAAGATTATATTTTTTTTGCAATTTTTCAAAATAAATAATCATTTGCGGACGTTTAGGATCAAGTTTCGATAAATTTTGGTATTTTTTAAAAAAAACATTTGGGAGAAAAACAGTGAAAAATAACCGCCATGAAAACTTAAAAGAACAACAATTTATAAAAAATTCAATTTGATACAAGTTTAAAGAAGATTTTTGCTCATTTTGTATGAAAATGCTTGAAATTGAAACATTAACAATTTAGTTATTATGTACATAAACATAGCTTCATATAGGTCAGTGGATTGAAAACTTTAAATAGATCAAAGGCTAGATTGTTATATATTATTAGAAAGGGCTTTAATACAGTACTTTAATGGTGAAAAATTATTAAAAAATAACAATTCTACAAAAAGTTATGAGACTTTTAGTAGCAAATTTTTGGAATATGAATTTGTTGAAGAAACTGTGGTCAAAAATTAATTTTTTTTTGACTTAAAATGTTATCAATTTCAACTTTTTTTCAGGTCCATTCTTATTTAAATAGCTATAACTTGATATCAAAAGATAGGTGTAACAGTGGGTCACAAAATGATAAATGTCTCTATTTACCGGGCGTTTTGTGGGGGCTAGAGGGTGTACCAAGCCACAATTTCACCGTATTTTTTTTTTTTTATATAAGTGTGCTTTTATCAGCAAATAGTAATTTTTTTTATACAAAATATTGATAATAATTTTATTCCATACCATCAAATGTTTAATTTTTAAAAATTTTTCTATTACTAATAAAACAAGTGAAATCAGTATACAGTTTAAGTAACGTCAAATATTTTTTTTCAAGATTTGTATTTATTGGTGGTGTACATATTGACTTGTGGGAGGGACGTTTGCAGACCCTTACCAATTTAAAACTTAATTTGGCAAGTGACACAAAGCGTAACATAGGGTCTAAAGTTGAAAACCACAACCAATCTTACTTTTGAAGAAAAATTCTCTTCGCTGCTATTTATAAATTTTGATTAATATGAGAAGTTAGTTAAATGGGATGGTTGCACATTCTTAAATGAAAATATATTTAATTCTTAAAAGTATTTGTATCATTAGTAAACAAAAAAGTATAAGTTATATTTTATTTCCTAACCAAAAAAATCAGTGTTGCATTCTATGATTAAAAAAAATTTAAATACGGAATGTAAAATATTTTGGCTACGGTAACTTAATCGAACCTCGCCCACATCCGCACTGAAACTGATGTTGACTAGACTTGCACAGCTGAACTATACATTATTAGATAACTTATTCCTTCAGCTACAAAACCATGTAAAATTGTTTAGATTTTATGAGAGTAGGTGGCAGTACCATTATATATTGTACAATGTGTCAAAAGCACTAATTCTCGCCCACTTGAACTTAATCTCGCCATGTTGATTTATTTTTAAGTCGCCCACTGTGTAAATTAAAAAAGAACTTAACTTGCGTAGGGTGACGTTATATTCAGGTAAGATTAAATCTCGTTAGCTAATTTCTATGCTCAATTTCTAGCTAATTTCTATGCTCAAACTCTATGTATTGGACCATTTTAATTAGAAAAGTATAAAATCATGGGGTTTTTTGTGAATGCGAACTTTCTCCCTAGTTTCTGACTTAAATCTGGATTCTGAGATCAATATCAATTGTAATTGTAAAATGTGTCAGTATTGTTTTCGGGATCAACCAATGGTTGCAATTCAGATGATAATGAAATGAACTTCTTTTTTGTTGTTGTTATAACACTTGTTGGCACAATTTTCTAATTTTGGTACTTGTTGGCACAATTTTCTAATTTTTTTTCTTAGACAATACCTTTTGCTCTTCTTTTTCTTTGAGTCGCTCAGCAGCATTAACAAATCGCAGTTGTTTTCTTTTGCATTTTTTTCTTTCCTGTTAGATTTTGTCTTGGTGATATTTCAGCTTTGCTAAGTATGCTTCATGAGAAATTAAAGCAAAGTACTTAAGCTAACTTTTCTGTTCGCTATCTTTTTTCGTGCGGTAGCCTTAGGAAATGCCAAGACATCATCATCCCCATCACCTGCATTGATAAAAGCATATATTTGATAAAAGAACAAGTATTTAATTATTTTTAAAAAATTTGAATTATTCTAAAACTAAAAATATATTAGAAGTTGTTGCTATGCAAATGTTGCATTGTTGCTATGCAAATATTGATCACTTGATCAAATGAAATTAAAAAAAAATGTAAAATGATTGACTTACCAGGTAGGAAGAATTTGAAAACGGAAAATCTGAATCTGAAACTGAAATCTGAATTATTTTTTAATGGTTCTAAGAATTCTTTTTTTTTTTGCTTAGTAAGATTGGTAAAACTATTTACAATGCAGTCAACATTTTCTTTAACTGGATTGAATAAATATGCAAGCTGGTTATTACAAACAACAGTCTCTGCTTCCAAAATAAAAGTATTGCTTTGTAACGAACTGTGAGTTGCGTTATCTTCTTCAGTGCCATTTTGTAATTGCTTTTGATAATTAGCAACTTTTCCAGCATCTATAGAAGCATCAACGTCTGAACAATTAATTTCTTGAACAATTGATGATTAGAATTCCTAAGAAAATAATAAATAATACTATTAAAATGCAAGTTAGTAAACTTTATGCTTCATTCAGAATTTTTATAAATTGGTACATAAAATATTAGTCACAGTTGCTAGCTAAAGTTTTAATAATTTTTATTGTATAGTAGTATTAGCAAAAACACGATAGTACAATTCTAACTAAAGAACAATTGCTTTCAGTTGTATTAACTGATATATCCTCAGCTATGTGTAGATAATAAAGTTGTGAGAATCGTGCCAATCCAGAATCAATAACTGAGGACGTTTTGGACCTAATTTTTTAGTTATTTTAATAACTTAAACATTAGTTCTTAAATTGAAAATAAATAAAACAATCGTAAATAAAATATGCATTATTTCTAAACACTAAAAAATTATTAAAAAAAAAAAAACAGCATAAAAAGATAAAATTCCAAACTCTTTCTTAGCTACCAAATGCAATAGCAGACAAAATTTTTCTTATTTGCGATACTTTCTTTGTTCTTTATCTAGCTAATTTATTTGGTTTTGAGCTTTTTATACAATTACTCAACGCAGAGCCAGAGCAATTTATTTTTTAATTAATTTCCTAAATAACAATACACAGAGGAAGAGTATTGTTTTGAAGGCAATCAAAAATAAATTAACTTGGATATCATCAATTTTTGTCAAAGCAATTATCGGGTTTCATTTTTACAATAATGCTAAGGATGTTGAATTAAGGGTAATTAATTTATAAAATAATTTCTTCCATAATATATAGAATAAAAATACATAAAAAATACTCTTTTGTAAGCATTCAAAAAGATTATGCTTTTAATATGTATCCTTACGAAATTTTATAATTTTGCTTATCAATTATTTTTTAGATATGTCATTCCAATTTAATGAAAAAATATTGGAGGTCAAAAGGTCTAAAGGTTTTTTTTGCTAAAATTGCTAGTAGCATAAGTCTTAATATATTTATTAATATAAAAATTCAAATATCGGTAACAGAAGCATATAACACGTTTAATATACTTTAAAGATCGTTCCCTACCGGCTCATCTAGTTTCTTTTTCGGAAAAAAAACCTATATACCCAGTAAGCACAGAACGTTTTTAAAACGTTTATAAAACCTATTAAAACGGCTTTTAACGTTTTTTAAACGTTTTTAAAACGAACTGTGCTTACTGGGTAGGCACGTGTTTTTCACGATCCAGGCGTAAACCAAAAGCACGTGTATATTACGGACAGTTTTACTAAAGTTTAACACGTGTTTTTTGAGGTTTTTAAGTCATCTTGTCAATTGATAATATCTTTGAATTCTTTTGAGTTTATACCTTTAAAAAATGTGTGTGATTCCTGAATATATTGCTTTATTTTGAAATATTTAGTTTTATATATATTCTTTATGTTGTTAAACATTATTTTATGTTTTGAAATATCTGGTTATATTTAAATTTTATTTCTAAACGTCATTTATTGTAATTATTTTTACTGCATTGTTAAACGGTTCTCAGTGACAGGATCTTACAACCCTCATTGAGTCTCCGTGTTCTGATATTTAATATACAACGATATTTATACCATAGTATTATATTGTAATAAGAACAAAAAACAAAAAAAAAACAAAAAAAAAAATCAGACTGTTTAACATTTATTATGAAACAATCGTAAAATAACAAATCCTTTATCAACGAGTGTACACTTAATTATTATAGTCGTTTCCAAACCTTTGGAACAAATAACACTCTTTAAATTATTAAAAAAAAAAAAAAAAATCTCCAGGTTTTGATTATAGAAAAATATCAATGTAAGTCTCCAAGTCTTTCTTTCTATAATAGAAGCAACCAAATTTTACTTCTCTTAAATATTTTTTTTACTAAAACCACAACTTGATTGATTAAAAAATTTGCAACTTTTACATTAGCTTTAATTTTATTTGAAAAAAATAGGAAACAACTCTTGATTATTTCATAAAATCTTTTATATATTTACACAGTGACGCTATTTTTTAAGGGCATCAACCTTTTTAGTAGTTGCTCGTAATTCTCAAACTTAATAACCGATATGTTATCAGGAGGCGTGTTATAATATTGCCTATTGTCGCAAAAGCTTATGTACATTTTAAAAACAAAAAGTATACCAAATGTTTACCAAAATATTTATTTAAATTAATAAAAAAGTATTTTAAAAGTTTGAGTGCATTACCTGAATTTTCTTGGGTTAGATGGCTTTTCATCTGACAGCTCAACAGAAAAGTTCAACAATGGGTAGAAAAGAAACTACATTTATATATTTTATTTTAAAATATCAGTTGTTTTTTAAATATTGTTAACGCAATTTTAGATAAATATTTATTATAAATATCTTAGTATATCCAATAATATTTAAAAAAGCAAAAGAATATATATATAAACTTTTTTTAAAGTAAAGGTTCTTTACCTTTTAGCAAAAGATTATGATTTTTTTTTATAACTTTGATTTTAAGTAGTTATCTTCATTTACAATTGTTCACCACTCTTTTAGGGGAATCTTTAGTTTTGTCCTGATTGTTTACGCTTTTACATTTACACGAAAATCTACAACTGCAGCAGCAAATTAATATAAAGTTCCAAAATCTCGTACCACTATGTTTAACAAAAATTAAAACTGTGCTAAAACATTTTTATTGTGCTTTCAAAATGGTCAAGTTATGATGACATTTTGAAATTTGATAATCCTTTAAAGGAAACTACAATCCTAGAATTTTTAACGACAAAATCATCTTTAATCGTAAAAAAAGAAAAAACAAGTAGTGATCAACAGGGTGTTTTTTATTTTTTTAGAATTATTATAAGAGTTCTGACATAAAAAAAAAACCTTGTGTAAAGTTGCGCTTGTCTGTGAAAGTGCATTACTTATGAATTATTAATTTTGTTTTTGTATTTGTACTTTTTTCTCAATTGTGTATGTGTATTTTGTACTCACGTCTTTTTGTTTTTATGTATTTTAAACTTATGTCCTACAACTTGTGTGTTGTAAATGTGTAGCCCTTAGTTGTATTATTGCCTTATTTTTGAATTTGCTAAGACATAAATTGGGAATTTATTTGTTTCCGAAGATCAGTTAAGCCGAAGATCAGTTAAGACGTTTTTTCCAATTGTATAAATGTCCACAAAAAAAAAATCGCAAAAAAGTTTTTACTGCTTAAAGACTCAGTTTTGGTGGTCAATTTACTGGTCCCAGCAAATTGATTATGAGGTAGCATGTGCAAATCCGTTTGAAATTTATATAAATACTTTTTGGTTTTGACCGTGTTCCATGTGCAGCAGATGCGTTGCTTTTGATAAGGTTAAAAATTAATTGCAGCATTCCGCTTGTTTATTAAAATCCGTTGTTGGTTCAGTTGAACATATCTTTGACCAAACTTTCTAAAGGTATGCTTAGATATATGAAACCGCTAAAAAAAAATGAACAAAGTAAGTTTTCTTATTTGATTTGCGCATTTTCTTAAGTCTTATGACAAAGGTAAAACAAAACTAATTATCTTTACAATTCTAACAGTTTTTTGTTTGTATGATAAACTTAAGAGACCTTGAAGCAAGCTTTAGTGTTTCTAAAAAACTGTAAGAAGCTTATAGCAAGTTTTACAAGTATCTTAAAAATTAGGGACTCTTTGTCAAATTTCTGATAGTTAATTGCAATTTAAATTTTCTAGTCATTTCATAAAATTTAGCAAAAACTAAAAAGTTGGTTGTAAGTTACAGAGGTTTTGTAAACCTCCTATGCGCGATCTTTCTAATGAAACTAAACATCTTGATCAGTTGCACTTTGTTTTTCGATTTTTAGGTTATTTGATTATATAATTTGAAATTAATTTGTTTTACTAAAAAATTTATCTTTCAATGAAAACATTTTTTTGTAGGGTTGATCGATTGAAATTTATTCCTTTTAAATTCATTGAGATAAGGAATAAACGTTGTAAAACACTAATTTTTTGAATCAACAAATATTTTTGCGTAACCTACAATGAATTACTCAGGTTTCAAATGTTTAACAAGTTAATGAAGCTGAAAAAATATTTATTCTTATTTAAAATATATATTTTATGCTTTTATTATATCAAACTTGTATATGTAAAAAGGGACTTCAAAAATGATTTTTATAGCTGTTATATTTCTATGTCAAACTTTACAGGTACGTATCTTATCAGAATATTGTTTTTATTTGAATAAGTAACAATAGCATAAAAGATAAACTCAATTTTGTTTTCAGAGATATAAAGGAAATGTAAAAGAGATAGGGGTGCTCCAGTTAGTTAAGTTACATAAAACTATTGACTGATTGCAATGACGTAAATAATGACTTTTAAGATTTTTATATTAGCATGTTCTCTAAGCAATACGAAAACGGCCCATCCAAAATTAAAATAATTATTAATTTAAAAAAATTTGCTGAGTCGGTGAATTACGAAAGAAATCATTAAAGCGTCAAAAAAAAAAAAAAAAAAAAAAAAAACTCTACCTAAAATTAAAAATAAAAAATAAACTATGGAAATATAATAAAATATAAAAAATATAAAAATTCTTATAAAAAGTAAAAAAGTCCAAAAAAATAATGCTACTCTCCATTGCTTAATAAAATATTTGCAAATACAAAAAACGTGGAATGTTGTTAAAGAAATAACAGGAGTGTGATACGTGAAGGCTGATAATCAGCCAAATAGATTGCAAAGTGAGGAAAATGGAGGAGATACTTTTGAAAAGAATGAAATTAACGACTTTTTCATAAATATAGGGAAAAAACAAGCCGGTGAAATTCATGGGAGAAAAAAATCATTTAAATTTTTCTTGAAAAAATCTGATTCCTTCATGGATGGATCGGAGCTTTCAGTTAATAAACTTCGGCTAGCGATTAGTATGCTGAAAACAAATAAGAGTGCAGGACTGAATGAAATTAACCCTGATGTTGTAAAAGCAGTCTTAGATATTATAGAAAAAAACTTTTTTTGTGATTTTTAATTTCTCTAAAAGACAGCATTTTTCTTGAACAATTAAATTTAGCAAAAATAATTCTAATATACAGAAGCGGCAATGACTCGATATAATCTAACTATACACCAATTTCCTTTTTTTCCAAAATACTAGAGCGTATTATGCACAACAGACTGTACAACTATCTTTTTGAGGAACAAATAAATGATATTTATTTGCAATTAGTCAATAGTTTAAAGATTTTATACTATTCATTTATACATATTCATATTAACTATTGTAATATTGTAATACCTGGGCAAACAATCATTCATCTTTTCTAAAAATATTAACACAAAGCCAAAGCATCCGAGTCAATTAGTTTTGGGGGATTTTAAAAGATGTTTTTTAATAACTAGTGGCTATAAAAAAAAGTTGTTTTTTTAAAAATTCAACGCAAAATATCTTATCAGTATAACATTTTAGTTCATGATATAGATCTTTCTAGATTAGTTAATTACTAGTTAAAAATTATAAAAATATTTCTTCAATTTAAAAAAAATAATAAAAAAACCTTGAAATATTATTATAAACTATATTGAGATTTCTTTACCAAAAAAAAAAAATAATAATAACAAAAATAGTCTAAGAAAAATAGGCTAAACTACTAGCAATAGCACAATATTAAAAAAAAAAAACACTCAATAGAGGTACATATCGAAAGAAACAAACAACTAATTAACTGTATCCCTTGTGTTTTCTGCCAAAAAAAGTTAGACGTGCATGACTAAGTTGTGCTTTGCTTTTTTTTATTTCTGGCTTTAACAGCAATCTTAGACAAAGATGATACTTAAAATATATAGATTGTACAGATTGTGACATAGGTATGGTTTTTTGTAAAATGTTATTAGTAATGATTGCAAATTGATATTTAGGTTTATGATTGAAAATTTATATCCACTTTTGTAGTCGTGGTGTCATATCAATGAGTAAGTCTCGAAACAACTTATTCAGATTTAAGTGCTCTTTGTGGTACACTATAAATAATAAAAAAATTATAGAGTAGACAACACCAATAAAAATGTCAAACTTAAAAGTGTTTTTGTGAAACATAGTAAAAACAATTTGTGTGTGTGTATATATATATATATATATATATATATATATATATATATATATATATATATATATATATATATATATATATATATATATATATATATATATATATATATATATATATATATATATATATATATATATATATATATATATATATATATATATATGTATATACATATATATATATATATATATATATATATATATATATATATATATATATATATATATATATATATATATATATATATATATATATATATATATATATATATATATATATATATATATATATATATATAGGTGTGAAAAACCTCTTTTAAAATTTTTTTTAATAAAAACTGAAATTGTCCCAATAAACTAAAAATTTTCGATATTTGAAACTGAAAATTACGTCATTGTTAAGTAGTCATAAAATGATTTCAATTTTTCTGAACTTCTGAAAAGAATTGTTCAAAACAAACTTTATAATTAATTAACTGTAAGTAAAAATCTTAAATGAATATCAATAAGATTTTTATTCGAATCATTAAACGGAACATGCAGCCCTAGACCTTAGGAACAACATTAACGTATCTTTTGATGTTAGAAAGTTTCTATTTGAAGTTTTTATTGACTTTACAAAAATTTTGAATTTTCATATGAAATTCTTCTTTAAAAAAAAAGCTAAATAAAAAAAAGATAATCAAAACTGACCTACTAAATGGTTAATTAGCTTTTAATATAAAAGGCAACAAAGTATTTTAATTGATGACAATATTAATACAAAGCAAATTACAAATAAAAAAACTTATTATTTTACATTTGCAGATGATACTTAAGGGAAGTTAGGGAACAGTGAATCGAAGGAAGAACTTAAGAGTACAGTGAATCAAGGGGCATTTTTTTAAAGATTTGCATTTTATTCATAGTGATAATGTAATCATTTATTGTGCTTATTTATCAGCAATCTTAATTCATAGTTGTTATCACATAATATTTGACTACCAGTTTTCGGTAGGTAATTTTTGATTTTAGCTAACTAAAGTAAATTTTCTTACTTTCCTTATGTTTTTTATGGAGATCATTTTTGAAACAATTTTAAAAAATAAAATTTTTCACTCTGATTATTGATATCTATGTTTTCCTTTAGCTTTCCGTTAGCTTTATTACGTCTCAAGAAATTAAACTTAGTTTGTTATGGTGGGGCACAGTGAATTAGGGTACAGTGAATAGGTTGATTCACTATGGCCCATTAGTGATCTTAAAAATTAAATTCATTTTTGCGTTTTTTTTTTTTTAGTTTTTATTTAGAAACCCTAAGAAGTCCTTGCGGTCTTATCGCATAGCATCGCGGATGAGCATTTAATCGGAAGTTCACGCCTTCTTTCAAACCGATATTGCAAACTTTAACCAGAGGTGGCGTTTGAACCACGGATCCTTTGTTTCTGAGGCATGTGAGCTACCACTGCGCCACGGCTGCTTTTCAAAAAGTTTTAACAAACAAATTACATGAAAATGAACTTATTAGTTTCAAGTTATAAATAAAAATATTTTAATAAATTTTTTAAATATTTTGTTTAAGTTTTGTTATCAATAAAATTCTTTTTTTTTATTTTTAATTTTTAAAATTGTATATTATTTCAATTTTTTATCAACCTAATCAATAAAAGTATGCCTAAAGTATAGTGTACAGTGTCTTTACTCCTTCAGCTTCAAAGTTATTTGGCTATGCCCCTATTCACTATCATTAATTCACAGTTATTCATTTACTCACAGTGTCCCAGTACTGGGGCACAGTGAATCACATAAAACAACTCACTTTAAACTTTTCTGTGAGCCGTTAGATATTTCTTATCATGAAGGACAAATATCTCAATCATTTGCCCTGAAAAAAATAAAATATATATTTTAAGTTTTGCCTAATTTAAAGAATAAAAAAATCCGATCCACTGTGCCCCAACCTCCCCTATATTTATTGAATATAGGGGAGTTTGAATAAGTTGATTTACGTAACAAGGAAAAGCATGCACATGAATAAGTTGATTATAGAGTTCAGAATATTTAAAATTTTCTGAATTCCATTAAACAATTTCTTGAAGTTTTCAGAATAACTGCAGTTGAAAGTCCAATAAAAGACTATAACTAACAAAAAATTGTTTACATAATTTAATTTTTTTAACATTTTTTTTTACATATGCGTACAACTATGTGAAAATGTCAATATTAACAAGTTAAAGCGCCAATATTGGCATATCAATATAGACAAATATAAGCTATGCAATACGGTCGCATTATTGGCATCCTAATATTGGACAAACAATATTGGAGCAATATTACATGCTAATACTTGACAATATTGGCGCAATTTTTTATACTTGTCCGTTATTGGCCAAGATATTTAATAATACACTATTATTGAACCTATGTTTCTTGTTACTAGAGCAGAGAAGACTTTTTTTTAATTTTTATTTGATTTATTTTAATATATATTATACGAGCTTATTTTAATAATATGACAAGTTGTCATGAAAATAAAATTTTTAGCAAAAAACATTTGCTTCAAAAGTTTAAAAGTTAGGCTAAAATTTTATTAAAGAAAGAATATATTTTAATCAGAAATCTCAACTCATGCAAAAAATATGAATATGAAAATAAGAAATATTTTAAATAAAAAAGGAAATCTAAACTTAGTAGCTAATATACTCATTTACTTTAATTAAAGCTTAAAAGTTTGTTAATTTGTATTTTATCAATTTTGGGTTTTATTGTTGTTTTTTTTTTTAATTTTTATAGTTTTAATTTTCAATTCTTTTGATTCTTTACAAAAAAAAAGAAAGTAATCATTGAATTTAAGTTTTTATTATTTTTGAAATTAATTTTTTAAAATTTCTTTTGTTAAATAAATGTTTTTGATTATGAATTTGTAAATTAACTTTTGTTTTCTTTTATCATGTTTTTTTTTTTGTTTTTTTTGTCGTTGTTAGTTTGTGTTTTTTTTTAATAAATTTTAAAAATTTTCCCATGGAGTCGGAGTTGCGGAGATGCAACATTTTTAGCGAAAGTCGGAGTCGGAGTCGCTAAACAAAATCGCGACTCCGACTCCAATAGTAAATCTTCTCG